TCGGATTATGCGAATACTTGCGACAATTGAATTTATTCTGTTATTTTTTATTGTACTAATGTCTGAAGAGGGCTCAAACTGGTAGCCGAAACTTGTTACTTGTAATGTATTAGTTTATAGTTTTATTATTTATTATTTTTTGGCGTGATGTTTCATCGCGTTTAATACAATATATAATTTTATGTAAAAATTAAAAAATGTGGTTGACTCTTACTTCGCCCGTTGATTGAGTTTTGTTATTATCAATTTTTGCATTTAATCAAGGTTTAATTAAATCACCTGGATTATCGAGAATCTTGGCTGAACTCACTTCTTTATAATTTGCTGCTATCTAAAGGATTGTACATTAACATAAAATTATTGGCGACGAAGAAATCTTGGCCAAAGATTATATGTGTAGACCAGGTATCGTTGTCTAAAATCAGTAAATCAACATTCGTCTCAACGTTAGGTAACAAAACGAAACCAATTTTAGTTTGGATCAAGCCAATCTCGGTATCCGTGTTATTTAACGCTTTGAGATTTCCTTCTATAGAATTATTACTATATACAAGAAACCTGTTGATCACAGAATATTTTATAAATTGAAGATTTAATAAAAGAATTTTCACTACCTGTATTTATCAATGCGTGTAACTTACAGTTAACATCATTAAATGAGTTTATTTCAATCACAGAATCTTTGAATTTTGATCTCACCAGGGCTTCATTGCTGACGCAATCCACCATTGACGAAGTATTCTTAGGTTCATCCTTCACAGCAACTAGATTGGAAACCTGAGTAGATAATTTAGATTGGAGTTTTTTCTTACGATTGAGTTTATAGCAATCCTTCTTAATGTGTCCTAGTATTTTGCAGTACACAACTAATATCTTTACTATCCTTTGATTGGGATTCTTTTGATGAAGAAGATAAAGAATTCTTTGGCCAAGATTCTTTCGACGAGGATGATAAAGTATTTTTTGACGGAGAAAAAGGTGTAACCTTTATTCTTTTTTAGTATAAGTAGGTGATTTCTTGAAATTGACGGTGAAAGAACACTTGTGCGTGAATGCGTGTGTGTGTGTGTGTGTGTGTGTGTGTGTGTGTGTGTGTGTGTTGTGTGTGTGTGTGAGAATGCGTTGTATATGCATACTCATTTGAATGTAGTTTTAATTTCCATACGCGTACGTATGCGTCTTGTCAATGAGTATCGCGTATGAATTTATGTGAAAGCTAATGTTATCATTGGTGTGATTTACCAGTGTGAGAGTGAGTGAATACAAATATGGTGCTGTCCAGCATTATCTTCGAACATGGAGGCAAAGTCGGCTATCTATTTATAGAATCTATTTATAGAAGTGTGAGAATATGACTTTTAGGACAAACGTTTATCCTGAATATGACTCTGTATATCAAAATCTATTTTAACTTATAAAAAATGAACAATAATAAAATGTCAATAGTAATGTAAATAGAAAATTTAAATTACTTATATCGATCTTTTAATGAATCTCATTTCTAAACGATATATGTTTAGGCAGAAATCGGTTGCGTGTATAGAATGCTCGCGCGTGTGATATGGTTTGTGTTTGACCGGTCCGATGTGCGATTCATGGTCTTTTTACATCTATACAAGGGCAAGTCAATAAGTTTTTAGAAAAACATAATAAAACACATTTTTTTGATCGATTCATTTTTATTTCTCAACATAGTCTCCTTTCAGCTCAATGCAGTTGATCCAACGATTCTCCAATTTTTTCAAGCCGTCCGAATAATATGATTTGTCCAACCCTTCAAAATAAGCCTTTGTTTCGGCGATGAGCTGCTCTCTGGTGGTGAATCTCTTTCCTCCGAACCATTTCTTCAAGTTTGGAAACAGGAAATAATCGCAGGGGGCTAAATCTGGCGTATATGCTGGATGAGGAAGCAATTTGTAGCGGAATTCGTTGAATTTGGCCATCACTTTTCCAGCCGACTTCACGGTCTTTGTCTTCTTCGGAGCTGGTTCACCTGGTGAAGTCCATTGTTTTGACTATTTCTTCGTCTCGGGTGTGAAGTAATGAATCTATGTTTCGTCCACAGTAATGAATCGACGCAGAAATTCATCTGGATTATGTTGAAACATCTCCAAACATTGTTTTGAAATCGTCACATTGTCGCGCTTATGATGACAGTGAGCAAACGCGGCATCCATCATATACCGATAGCTTTTTTATACCCAATTGTTCGTGCAAAATTGAAATCACTGTGCTATGTGATATGCCTGTGGCCTCAACAAGCTCGCGCACTTTCACTCGTCGATCAGTCAAAACAATATCGTGGACTTTATCGATGATTTCTGACGAAGCAGAATTGGACATCCCGAACGAGATGCATCACATGTGGATGTACAACCACGTTTAAATTTATTTACCCAATTGTATACAGTCGCAAACAATGGTGCAGATGTGCTATGAACATTATCCAACTCGGCTTTGATTTCTTTGGGCGTTAAACCTTTCATAGATGTTTGATCACTGCACGAAACTCGTTTTTTTCCATTTTGCAAAAAATACAAAGGTTGTTCGCTTTAATCGTCTATAGAAATAAAACCACGCGATGAATTTCGCTCAAAGTTTGACAGTAACCACCTGAAAAATGCTACTTGTCAACAAGTAATGTGACATGACACTGCGAGTGCCCTATGACAGATTTTCTAAGAACTTATTGATTTGCCCTCGTACGTCACAATTATACATCCACTAACATTTAGTGTTCTTGAATCATCAAAGCAGCAGTTTCCGTACGATTGCAGAGGTTCAGCATTGTTGGATCGCTTAGAAAAATAAGTGTTTTTTTCAGTTATAATTTTGTTGTGTGTGTTCTGGAATATGCTTAATCAATAATACTTATTTTAGTAATAAAACTGAATAAGCAAACAATTTTTTTATATTTCACAGACGTTATAATTCAACGGACATTAAACGTTTCTGCAACATTTCTTCAATATTGAATTTACATTTCGCGATGTTGCATTCAAATTCTGATACATTGGTTCAACATTAGTAGGTTGTATGGATTCTTCACGAATTTGTATTCAACATGCAAAAGTATGTCAAAAATTATTCACACTTGTGTGGCAAAAAGATCAAATTTTTTTACAATGTTATTAAGCGTTTAACAATTATTGTTCCTAATTTATAAATCCTTGTGAATTTAACTGATTAATACTGCTATCAAAGCTCTAAAAGAATATTCCAATCGCAGACGATAACCTTTTAATAGTTGCAAAATTTTTTTAGTACATGCAGCTAATATTCCACGATTGAATAATTATTCACGCAATAAACGCTTAATTAGTTAAACTGATAATTGGTTAAATTATTTTCTAATAATGTTAATTATGATAAACTATTAGTAACCATTTAACGGAATAACTGTTTAATTAATTATTTACTTGTAAGTAAGGAAACACTGTAATATGATTATTTTGAAGTTATAGTTATATTACTATTTATATATAGTTATTATTATATAATATTATTATATAGTAATATAACTATTTAGTAAAAGTAATGGTTTAGCCCTCTCTACAAATCACAATGTTAAAAAATTCAATTTATATATTGTAATTTGTAATGACAAGTCTTTAAATATTTACTTAAATACTCTGATATGAAAGAATGCAAAAAGAGGAGAGCAATTATTGAGATAAATGGTACCCGTGTACATTTTATCGTGAGTTTGAATGAAAAAACTCATGTTCGATCATATAGATTAGTTCACAATAAGATCAATGTCATGAATAGATAAAACGTAACATACAGGGCTCTTTGCCCTGATGAAGTGGACTGCAAGGTTCACGAAACGTTGGCATTCCATGAATGGATCAGAATATGGAGGAAACCCGCGAAACTTTTAGCATAACTTTTATATAGAAAGCACCCATGGAAGCTTCAAGAATATTATAAATGTTATTTGAATGTTATATTTTGAACACGGTCGATATTAGAACTCGCGCACATCAGTGAAAGTTAGATTACTATCGAAATACTATACAAAACGCTTTAAAATTAAAAAGGCATAACTAAAACAAAACGTTTGCTTTTTCAAGATATTTGTAATTATTATTTATTAGATTATTAGACATCAGCAAGAGTGTAAATTTTATACCTAATATTTTCTTTACGAGGCACAAGCATGCATTACAAATTTCACATTGTATTTGCATATAATATATAGTTGTTATTTTAATTGTAGCCTAGTCGTTTCTTCCCTCTCCTGCGCATTATCGAAATCGAGGGAAGCGGATGATAAAACAGAAAGTTACGCTAAGAATCAAACGTCAAATCATGAGGTAAGAATTTCCGGCAAACATGAGCAATCGTTTTTTACATCAATGGACGTTCTGGAAAAACGAGTAAACATTTCCTTGGACTATAAATACCTTTTAATGTCGGAGATTCAAGAAAACAACGCAAGTGCTCCGTATCCTGGCGAAACGGCGCATTTGAAATATGTACCGAAATTGCTAAGGAGAGAGATACAAGAGGTAGCAACGGATGTGTTACAGCCGAGAAATTCCTATAAAATTATGTACATTCCTACGAAAGAGACGAATCAGACGGGAGATGGAATTCGACATAAATTTTTAAATGCATCGCATATTTCTGAAATCTCCGAAGTAACAGAAATGACAACAAGCGAAGACAAAAAAATCAGAAAGATGGAAGATAAACTTAAAAAGGAATTTTTGACCGGATCACTGAATAACACAGGCGTCAAAATTTCAGAATCATTGAATAATTCAAAAAATAACAACTCACAACAAGTGAAGTTTTTTCAAAAATGGAATGATGGTGTTCAAACAAATAAATATTCTAACGTCAGTGACATTTTGATAAAAATACATTCTAAAAAATCGGACAATATCTCGATTCAACTGATCAATACAGAAATACAGAACGTTGAATCAAAAGCCGATAATCAAATTCTGGATAGTCACACCGATGAACAAAAATGGGAATCTGAGGAAGACGGTTTACTGGAAGCAGCGAAGTTTGGATTACAAGCTATGCATGATCTTTATTATGTTCAAGAACCTAAATTATATTCAATGGGTAAGCGCTTACAGAAAATTCATTAATTCATGGCATAAATCATTTCGGGTTAATTATTATAATTAAATACGTATCTACAAAAAGTCTTCATGTATGGAATCAACATACAGGTCTTTATCTGGAAAGCGAAAATCCAGCGAGATACGTAGCAGCATTTAATGATCAATCAGAGGAAGCAAGAGACCTTGCAAGATTTGGATATGCGGCCCTTCAAAGTACCTCTATATTTTTAAAAAAGTAAGTTTCTAATAAGAATAATGGTAAATTTCTAATGTCGGAATAATAAACTTTACGACTATTCCTACTCCGACCTATCAGGTTTTCTAATACACCATTGGAATTACCCTTAATCCGAAATAAGCTAACTAAAAGAACCTCGTTGGAACAACAATGTCCACAAAGAGATCCACCCCAATGTCCACGGGCTAGTTTAAAATACAGAACATCTGACGGCAGCTGCAACAATCTGCAGAATCTTTGGTGGGGATCCGCTATGTCTATAATGCAGAGGTAAATACAAGCAATGTATGAACAATCTTTGAATATAAAAATAAAAATACAAAATATTAAATATAAAAGTAAAAAGCATTTTAACTATGTTAAAAAATTATTTTCACGTTCAGATTTTGGTAAATAACTTCAATTTTAAGTGACACTTCACCAATTTCAATTTCCTTAAGATATGTTGTAGGGAAAAGTATCTTGAGTAATTCCCCACAAGAATTAAGTGGGAGACGGCATTGGTTTAGGAGATATAGTAAATTAAAGTGCTATAATACGTAGAGGATAATATTGGTACATATAAGAATATACTTTTATCCCACTTCGCCCCTGTTTTAGGTCATGACTTCTACACGAAGCGACTTTCATCCCCCCTCCCCCCTATTTAGGAGCGCACGACTTCTACGCGAAGCGACTCCAACTCCATCTCCCCCTTAAGGGTGCATGACCTCTACGTGAAGGACTCCCATCCCACTTGCCTCCTCTGCTTCGAGAAGCGCATGACTTTCCGAGATTCAACATATTTCTTTGGAAAGTCGTGAACTCCGATTTCCCAAAAAAAGTCACTTTGCGTGGAAAATCATATATGCTATGACTTTATTATGAAATTTTATTATATCTTCTAAACCAATGCCATCCCCTACTTAATTCTTGTAAGGAATCACTCTCTTCTACAACATATGTAAAGGACATTGAAATCGGTCAAGTGTCACCTAAAATAGATATTTATCCAGATTTCTTTCACCGGAATATCACGATGGCGTTCAAAGCATTAGAAAGTCGAAAAACGGAAGACCACTTCCAAGCGCACGAGATATTACGAGCTTAATCCATGAAAACAAAGACGTACCTTTAGCTTCTGTTACTCACATGCTAATGCAGTGGGGGCAATTTATAGATCATGATTTAACAGGTGCGTAATAAAAAATTCCTACCTTTTTATTTACCATTTTTCAAAATATAAATATGTAATTAAATATATCATGTAAACAGCAACTGGCCAAAGCAAAGGATTTAATGGCACAGTACCACAATGTTGCTTACAAGGAGGCATCGGTTTTCAACCGCCAGAATTTATGGTAATAAATTAATCAATGACTGTAATTATAAACTTTTAACCGTAATATTAATACTACTTATTATCTGGGTGGAAATTATAACTTGGAGCTATATGGGTCTCATCTAGTTTTCCGCGAGTTAATAGAGTAGGCGCGATGTTGGAAGGCTAGCCTGGGACTATATTGGGAGGTAACGGCAATAGTGACCAATCAATTTTTGAAAAATTATCTAGGCCCTAGTTCGCGATGTAGACCCAATATTGGAAAATTGTCTAGTTTGTTAGGCGGTGTAGCTTTGGTGAAATTTGAGAAAAAAACTGTCTAAACATTGAACAAATTAAAGCTCGTAACGCTATCAATATCAATTGCAAAATACCACAGAGCTGTCTATAGTCAAATATCTAGTGTCTTTGGTAGTAAGTCTAATCAATCTTGTCTTATTTTTGATTGAGTGGATGAAAAATGGCGGAATCAATCTGATAATGCCTGAGCGTGAAAAAATTGAAAGACAGATACATAAAATGCCTTATACAGTTGTGTCATTGCACACATAAGTGCACGTGTATGTATATGTGCACACATTATGTCATTTTCAATCCAACTAGAAGATGGCCAGACTTTTACTTCTAGGGATACTGAAATATCTAGGGCGATAATGATTATTGTGAATCTTGCGCCTGCGCATTCCGACCTAAAAGAAGTTCCATATAAAGGTTACATTCCGTTATACATGCAAACATTGGAAATCTATACTTTACAATATGTATACTGTAGACTCATAGTATTTAAAATAAATAATGGAACGCAGCCAATGATCGATGCAACGTGCAACTTGCAATATAATATGTACAATAACGGACTATAGTGGGCTACTCATATGCAATGGTTGTGCATGTATAAGATTGATCCAGAAACACGATAATGTTTCGGCGCTAAGAAAACGCGTAATGTTTTAGAGATAGTGCCGAGTACCTTTACACGAAGCGGTGAGTTTTCCGAGATCTCGATTATTATATCTCAATAATGGATGTGTCGATCCAATTCTATGTATAATCAATATGGTCGACAGCTTTAATCTGAATTGTATAATGAAAGTGCCTTTATTCTTTTTCTATTTGTCCTACAAATGAAGATATTGCAACAAGTTCCAAATTTTGTTCAAATTTTAAGAAACTAATTTATTGTCATTATTACTATTACTATTAATGTCGTCGTTGTCGTCTGCCTGGCCCATAGATTATGTCTTAAACTTCAGTCGACAGATGGCAACCTTTTTACTTTATTTTTTAATAACTCTTTAAGGAACAACGATCGACTGCTAAAACTGTCCGATGGACACTTAGGGTCATGATCTTGATAATATGTCATTTTACTTTTTTATAATTTTGTAATGTGTGATGAGTTATTACAATCTTCCGAAAGTTATTCGGTGTGGTAACCTTTATAATGTATAGAAAGATCAAGGTCAATCGGAGATGAATTGTTTATTTTAATTTTAATATCTTCTTAATAAGCATCGGTCGCCTACTGAAACTTTTCCATGGTCATTTAGAGTCATGACCTTAACAATATGAGTCAAGGTCATATTATTTTTTTTTTAATAACTTTGTAACATGTGACTCCTATAACTTTCCAAAGATTATTTGATGTGTCCTTCATAAGGTATATGAAGGTCAAGATCATCGGAGGTGAATTGACATTTTAATTTTAATAACTTCAATAATCAACGAGTGACTACCAAAACCCTTCGATGATCATGACCTTGACCATATATGTTAATGTCAACGTTATCGAAATTGAATTGCCTATTTTATTATGAATAATTTTGTAACGTATAATGGACTGCTGCCACCTTCCGAAAGTTATTTTGGTATGATGATCTTCATAATAAATGGGAGGGTCAAGGGCATCGTAGATAAATTATCTATTTTAATTTTAATAATTTCTTAATAATCAATGAGCAACTGACAAAACCCTTTGATGGTTACTTAGGGTCATCTTGACAATATATATAAAGGTCGACATTATCGGAGTTGAATTTCTTATTATATTTTTAATAACTTTGTAATGTGCAACGAACGATTGCTAAGACCTTCCGAAGGATATTCATAATATGTGTGAAGGTCAAGGTCATCGGAAGTGATTTGTCTATTTTAATCTTAATAACTTCTTAATAACCAACGATTGCCAAAACTTTCATGGTCACTCAAAGTCATCACCTAAACAATATATGTCAAGGTCAGCCTCATCGGAATTAAATTCCCTATTTCATTTTTAATAACTTTTTAACGTGTGATGGGTAACTGCTAAATCTTGCAAAGGTTATGCAGGATATGTTGCAAGAAAACAAGTATTATATGTAAGTCTATGTTAAATAATAATTATAGATTGAAAAGAGGAATAAAATTAAGTAAAAGTTACCGAAAAAAATAATTTTAACTATAACTTATGTCTGTACATATAGTACACATTATGCTTATGACTCTTTAAATTTAATTTCACATGTTCTACGAATTATTTTATTGGTCAATATTTATTTGTTATAATTAAAACACTAAAAAACCGGCCACCCAAAGTTTAAATTATTACAGTTCAGAATCTTTCCATGGTTCTTATTTTATGAATAACTAATTAAAAAGAATTATTTTATACAAATATATTATATTTGTGTAAAAAATGCAAGAATGAGAAGTAAAATACCGTCGTAAATTTTATCGTTTCGGTTATTTATAAAAACTACTTGCTAATGACGTTGCAGTTTTTTATTGCAATGATATCTGACTACTCTACTTTTATGTTAAGTTTGGAAAAGTAACACTTTACCGCTTATTACGCGCTTACTTTTTGAAAAAGTTATTTATAATGAGTAACGCATAACGTTACTCATTACAAATACTGAGCAAAAAGTAATGCATTACAAATAACGAGGTATTATTTTTCAGTAACGAGTGATCGATCCAATTCGTTGTAAATAACGATTGAGTGACTTTTCAACTCTGACGTTATAATTAAAAATCTCCTCTTTAAAAAATGTATTAAGCTAATCAATTTATATACCTTTTATATAAAAAGACGTTAAAAAAAAATTCTGGAAAGTTGAAAAATGCGTGAGTGGCAGCGCGTGGGTGACAGCGTACTCCTGTAATCTTTTGTACTTTTCGTACCTCCGTACTTCTGTGATCTTCGCGAGTCATCAAGAGTGGCCCGATCTTTTTCACTCCACCCGGTGCGCTGCCATCCACGCATTCCTCAACTTTCCAATGGTTTTAAATAAATTTTTTCGGTAGCAAAAAATTCGAGAATTTGATGTAAGTAATTAAGTTTTCTGCAGACAGGTTTTTAGTGAACAAATAGCAAAACTTTTTGCAAAAATGAACATTACAGGCTCGTTAGATTTGTTCGTCATTACGAGGGCTACATTTTACGAAAATTTCGAAGCTTTGCATTTAAATCTCAATGAACAGAGAGCGAGTGAAAAAGAGGCCTTTGTTGGAGTCTTTTATTGTTTTTCTACTTAACTAATAGATCGATTTTAATGTTTCACATCTCATTTTGTAGGTATTTCGAATACATTTTTCGTACTGAATTTTTTTCCATACAATCAATATCTTTTGTTTTATAAGCGAAAAATGCTTTATGCAATTATTTGATTTTTTTTCGCATATTTTCTTCACAAGTCTTGAGTTTCAAACATACGCATTTCTTTTCTAACCTTTCGAAAATTTTTGTTAAGAGAAATGCTGGTTTCTAATTTTTTTCCGTTAAAATTCTACTTCTATTATTCTTGTTACTCAAGTATATGAAGGATGTTTATAACGCATATGAAAAATCGTAAACAATTAAATATGTCGTAAATATTGCGTTTTAACATGATTTATACTATTCTGAATTAATGGGAGAGGTATACTATTATTACAATTTATTAAAACTTATATATTATTTAGAATGTCCTTCGCCTCTTATTGATGCCGGAGGCCGCCGAGCAGTCGAGATTGCTGAGAAAGGATTTTCTGTCGCTTGAAATAAGCGACTAGTGTGAAAAGGAGCTCGCTGTCTCGTTCACTCTCGGCGCGCCGAAAGCGAGCACACGTATATAGATTCGTGCTTGTATGTGTGTTACAGTGCATTACGATAAATGGTTGAACTTTTATACGTGGAAAACTTTTGACGAAAAAATTTATGTTGCATTTCGTTATTATTTGTTTTATTGTAAAAATGTGACTTGTCTCGTACTTATCAGACGTAATTATCTGTTATAAAAACTAAAGTTATCTTGGAATTTTATATGGAAAAGCGTATATTTTACTGGATTCAACAGCTGTCAAACCGTATGTTTCTGCCCGAATATAGGTTCATTTTACGAGCCTTTTACAATCATTTACTGACTATCAAAGAAGGAAAGGACAATTTTCATCGAATTTTACAAGTGTTTTAAAGCGATCTCGTTATTTCTTTTCATCCAAATTGTCTTTATTTAAAAATCTCTTTATTTAAAAATAACGTACACCATAAATTAACGTGTCATTTCTCGCTTCTGAAGTCACGATTCCAACATGGCCGTCACGACTAGTCAGAAGTCTTAAGTGTCATGTACTTTTAAAAAATGTTAAATAACTAATTTACATTTTATTATACTTATATAATATTTAATAATCCACAAAAAATCCAAAAAATACCTAGGGGGAATAAGAGTCAGCGTGGTAGTTAATGCGCAAGATGCAATCTTAAATCTCTATTCTAAAAAATAGTACGTTTTGGTTTACTTTAGAACCCAGGTGGAAATCTGTCCTGGTGCTTCGAGTCTCTACGTATATATAGAACCTTGTCGGGAAAATCAGTGGCGCACCTGTCTCGCAAAATTAGACGGGGGTTGTCTAGTACTTTATGTAGAAGCTACATAAAATTTTCTGGGGTTGCTTAGATAGAAAATCTAGACAGGAAATATCCAGCACCAGGTTTATAGGCAGAATAAAAATAATCGAATATCTTTATCCTGCTCATAGACTTAGTGTTAGATAGTT